CTTCCTATAGTCTGTTATAAGCTGTTAAAGCTGGGATTCAAACCACAAAGAATTAAATATGTCAAAAAAATACTTACTAGTTCCTCACACTCAAACAGTTTGGTTCTCTGTCAAAGATTTAGATAAGCTTTTTCAGACGTAAAAGTGAAAATAAATCAAGTCTGATTTGTTAAAAAACAGTTACTTTCTGTTGGGACAGAACATATATTATTTAAGAAACAAAAAAGTGAGGTATCTCAGCTTTAAGATCAAATATCATTATCACAACTCTGTCCAAGTTTTTTCGTTCATATAATAAAAGGTTTTACTCAGTTGAAAGACCCTTAAGTGCTTCAATGTTAATAAAACGCAGATTGCAGAAGCAGCAGCATCAAAGCTCACAATCTGCTTTCATTTAAGTCAATGGCTCTGTACTCGCAGAGTTTTGAGGAGGATCCTGTCATCTCAGGACGAAGCTTCTGATTGTGATTTTTTTTTGCGTCTGACCTTGGTCTGCGAAATGCGCTGTATAAATAAAGATGACCTACACTGTAGATGATCATAATACATGTCTCTGAGGCATCAGAATACAGCTCTCAATCATATCTGACAGCACAAGTTTGAATATATCCAAAATAAATGCAGATGGAAAGTACCCCAGGTTTTTTCCCGTACTGAATAAATCACAAACCAACAAATGAATCATAATAATGTAAAAGAACAAGAAAATTAATGTGCATTATCTTTTTTCTGACCAATATTGTATCTTCTTCCTCGGAAAATACATCACTTTTTTAATGTGAAGTAATGTAATTGACATGCTTTTTATCGTGAAAGGAGACTGTCCACAACAACAAGACATAAGCACTCACCTGCAGGCCTGCTGAATGGAGTTGGCAAAGTTCTTGAAGTCTTGTTTTAAATGGAGCTCCTCTTGGCGTGGGCTCTTTCAGAGACACTAGTGCATGTGGGGTGTCTGTTTGGATGTGAAGGTTCAAAATGCTTTATAAGTAAGGTTAGACCCTCCTGCTGATGTCACATGGCCAACAGCATCATCTCCGCCCGTTGGTTGTAGAAACCTCATGTGCAATTAGGGTGATGCTTACTTACTTTCAGCCCTCTGCTTTATGCTTGATATTTGTTCAGTCTCTGTCGTTTCTGTGGTTCTTGTTCTATAACCTTTTACAGATAAAACCGTGCGCGGGCGTCACTGAGACAAGAAAACGCGTCTGTTATTTAATACGCATAACATTTTCTTGGGCAGATTAATGTAATAATTTTTGGAATCCAAAATAATGTAGCGACATGGGATAAAGGTTGTATATATATTTTGTGGTCATGGCTGCTGACAACTTGAGCGACTGGAGCAACAGAAAAAAACGTGAACACAGTAGAAGTGGTTTGTTGCTACATGCCACCGCTGCTTACGTATAGTGTGTGCAGTTTCCAGTGGTGGTCTGAATTTTAAGTGTACAGTGAGTTACATGGCTCTCCCTAATGCATGACTGATGCTGCCAGTACGTGAAGTGGAGTAGTAATAGCCAAGTAGTCTCTGTTCCCGTAAGAGACAGACAGCTAGACAAGAGTAACAAAGGCAAAATACCAATTTAAGGAGTCATAACAGTAGTTTTGTACAGTCAATGCAGACTATAAATGTGAATGTGTATATTATGTCAAAATGACACTCATTACATAACACCATTATCAGCAGTTGCATTGTTTGAACTACTATCAACCCTGAACAGTGGAATTACCATAGATTTTAATTGTGTCACATGGCTCACTCTATTATCATTTATTTCACACTATTTATTTAATCTTTGACATTGTAATAACGGTGCCACCTCACAGTTCCAGAAATAAAACACCCTTTATTTTCCCCTCAGGGAATGTGAAAATCTGCAATTATAAATGTTTGGAAGTTAGCACTGAGCTCATCAGCGATGGAGTGAATAATGACCATTGACCACAAGACCAAGTCTAAGAATGTTTTGTCTACTTTTTCTAAGATAAGTACAGGTTTGACTGTAATTTCCTTGTTCACATTTCCGTGAGCCATCTTCAGAACTTCATAAACGCCTTTATTGTGCCTTATGACTTTTAATATTTGGATTCTTCTTGACTCCTATGCAGGAAATGTATGATAATACGTTTAAACCATAGTGGAATATGAAATGGGCGGGGCTGACAGTGGTCATAAGTGATTTCCGGTTTTTGTGTAATGACTTATGCAATCTACAAAAGCTGCTCATGCTAACACAAGCGTGAACTAATTACAACGAAATGCATTTTTTTCTGCTACAAAGGCTAGTCATCTTCCTAATTAAATGTTCAGATAATGTTGCTAAAGATAGAATCGAAGGAAATAAACATCACTAATAAGATCAAATTAAAAATCCTCATTAGTGTGTTTAGTGATGTGTGCTCTTTTATTTCTTTGTACTTTGGAAATGCTCGAGACCAACAGAACATATAAGTGAGCAGTTATATCACGAACCACATGTTCTTCAAACTTTACAGGGGGTAAATGAAGGATGTGGTCTGAGTCTTTTCGTCGACTTGGCTCCTTTGTAATTCATATTGCTTATTTACACAGTGCTTTAATCAACCACTTGCCTTAGGGTTAATTCTCACTTTCCATGTGTCACTGGAGGCGGATATCCACAAGACACTTTTACTCACTTGTTCTCTCGAGGGGAGCGCACTGAACAACACACATGTCATTATTGACAGTGCGACGCACTGCGTGGTTTTCCTCTCAAGGGGTGGTAATTGATAAATATGTATCTTTGACCATCTTCGACATATTATCTAAGTTTTGGTAATATTTTTCTTACGACATCAAAAATACAATAAAATGGCATTTGCATGTTTAAAAATAAAGATTGATTTAATTCTCATATGGCGTGCTCAAACGTTTCACTCAGTACAGTATACGTGCTGTGAACTTCTGTGAACTCTGCGGTCTATATAGCGATGCGGCCAATGTACAGTATGTATTTTTATTTTGTTAGCACGCCGCCATAGCATTTGAATGGATTTGGACACAGCTCTATCAGCTGCAGATCTCCCTTCCTATTTCTCATGTGTTTATGTGAATAGCAGAAAGAGCCGACACAGGAAAGTGTGATCTAAAAAAAAAAATGTGATTAGGGTTATTATCAGAACTTATTTTTATGACTTGAGTTTTAGTAGGAATGGGACACATGTTTATTGTCAAACTAGATTTACCAGAGCGCTTTGATCATCACGAGTGCGTTAAAACCAAGCCCCGGTGATCCAAGATGGCATCCTATTCAAATGAACGGCTTGTGCTCAGTAGCGCATGGGACATCCAGGAGGACCGAAAGATTAGCGGAGCCAAATACGCGTGTGTGGCTCTCGTGCACTTGCACAGAGGGGCTCGGCCGCGCTCTGACCAATCAGCGCTGCTGATCAGAGCAGCGTTAGAGCAGATCCTGAGCGGGAAGGGTTCTATGGGACTTTTTTTCTGGGAAGCCCACGTGAATTTAGTCTGCAGTACCACGGGCGCCCCCTGTGCTCATTGGTAGGACAGTTTTAAGCTACTAATACCCTATCCAATTATTATTATAGATCGATCGTTAAAACACGGTCATTAAATAATTTGTCTATCAGCTTTGTTTGCTCCATCAGCTGTTGGTTACACTTTACATTATGACATTGAGACCTGCAATCCTTGTAGTCAAGTGCGGTCTACATGTGGAAATTTATTTTCTTGTAAAATGTAGCTGTAGTGAAGTGCTGTGTAGTTCATATACAGGTGCACTTAATAGTCCACTAAGTACTGTTTATGTGAATCCAACTCACATCACGACTCCCACTGGTGAATATATTTAAAGCTGTGATACTTTGAACTAATGATCCAGAATCTTGTTGCTGTTTGTTTATTTAAAAGTGACAGTACAGTCATGAAAAAGATTGTTTTGTACTGTTTGTAGGAATTCATCCTAACTTTTCTTCACACATACAGAATGTTTACTGCGTGAAAGTTGAGGCTGTACTATCTACAGATGGTGGCATCAAAAGAAAAAAGTATAAGTATTTTTAGGCTTCATTCCTGTTTTCTTCTTGGTGTGTGGCTTGGTTGTTGTCCAGTTATGGCAGATGGTTTACTCCATGTGTAGCTTTGCTGCTCAGGTAGCTGATCTGTGTCCCTTTAGGCCTGGACATCTACTCTCTTAAACCTCAGGCCTCACCACAAATGGTTTCCAGTGAATACAGAGCAGCAAGAGGAACAAAAACACAAGTCCACTTTAACTGTGACGGAAATGGGAAATACAGTAGGTGGACTAGATGGGATTCCATCAAAAAACTAAAATAAATAAAATTGTTTGGATCATGTGTGCCTCTTTGGCGACACAAGCAGAAGTTTTACTGACTTCTTCACTTCATATCGTCCATTCAGCAGTTTCCTGAGATGGCTATATTTAGTTCATTTGTTTTGCTAGTTGTGTTGGAAAGGGGTAAAAGTGTCTCCATCTGACAGGCATACTATTTAAAGTATGAGTGGGAGTTGTGGGTGTTTTGGCTTATGTTTGTGGTGTGAATCTAAAACTAGTGGCCTCTGTTGGCCTCTACCGAGAATAACATATCAGCCTCCATTGGAAAAGTCTAAACAGGAGAGAGCTTAGCTCCTTTTATCAAACCCACAGAGATCAGGACCCACATTTCAAAAATATTGCCCAGCTAGTGCCTTTCAATAATAATTAATAATAATAATAATTAGTAGTTAAACAACTACTAACCCTGGGATTAGCACTTAGTGCCTCTCTGCCAGTAGTAACTGTTGTTATATAGAGCATATTTTTTCTGCTGTCAGCACATATTTGTTCCCAAGCCCCATATGAACACATATGAATTGAATTTGCCTTTAATTTAAACATGGTGAAAAACATGGTGTGTAGATGGCGCCATGAAGGTTCACTAGGAGCTTGATCATAATGATTCAGCTGTTGGGCTCTAATCCAGTGAATTTTAAATGAGCTTTCGTTGACTTTCAGAAGGGTTTGTCAAAGTGCCGGAGTTTTTGAACGGCATCTGGACCCCACAGACAGCCCAGGGGAGGGGCTTTTGGGCAGCCTGCCAGTTGGAGCCTGCAGCCCTCTCTCAGGAGGTCTGTGCACTGACACCTTTCACACAGACTGAGAGCGCTCAGTCCACTCAGGACTTCAATGCAATCATTTCCCCACCGGGACGTCGCTCTGTTGGATAACATAGTCATATATATTTGTTTCACATACATCAAAACTAGAAAAGCACTCGTAGAATGCAGACCTCCTCCAAGAGATAAATTCCTGAATCCAGAATGTTATCCCAATCATATAGGTTCTACTGGCCCCGCTCCCAAAAAAATAACAATTGTAAACCGCTTTGAGACTCCGATGTGCAGTGAAAAGGCGGTATATAAATAAAGATTACTTACTTACTTACTTACTTACTATTGTTTTTCCCTCATCATTTATAAATTTGGGCAAAGAGATCAGCATTGAGAATAGTGAATGAAGTATTTGAGGAGTCACAACAGTTTTGTTCAGGAAAACGGTAAAAACGTGTTCATAACGAGACACAAGCCGCACAACAGTCACAACACACACTCCTCTTCAGCACAGCGAGGGCTAACGTCAGACTAAATATCTCAAGTATGTTACAATGTGTTGAGCAGTTCGAAATAATAACACTCCACAGGAAAAAGTTCCGTGCTCGGTCTGTGCACTGTTCGGACCTGAAATGTGAAGTTTACAGCACAATCATCGCTTCTTCACTGCCACACGTGTCTTGAAGAAAAAATATGAATAAATCCAGAACAATTTTTTTTGTCTATAATCGGTCTTTTAAAATTTAGGACAGTTCTCAAGGGAATAAAGGAGGATTTTCCCAAAGTTTAGGAAAGCCCTGTACTTTCGCTCTCTACTAAAACGTCTGCGAGAGACATGCACAACCCCATTTCTTACTCGTGCACGCTCTGTTTACAAGTCACTGTCAGCATCACTCACACAAGCTCACTTTCTAAAAATATTTGCACTATCTCAGACAATATAGATGTAGATCACTTATACTGGAAGTAACTTGAAATGGATTTATCCAAATAGAATGCCAAACTTTACCTGCCGAGGAGGGCGCGTCACTCGCTGCTCTTGCGCTGTGTACGGGCAGTCATCAGTAGGAAGAATCCCCAAAGAATCTCCCAAAAACACTCTTGTTTGACGAGCATGTCTGGCGGCCTTACGTCACATATCACCAGAATGATTGACAATCAGGAGGACCAATAGTCTTGATGATCCACCCGGAATAAGAAAATCTTCCTATATACTGTACCTTAATAAAATACTAGTTCTATACAATTTCCAACTTGTAGCCACAATCTTTTTAGCTGCTGTCATTCCATCCAGTGTGAAAGTCCTGGGCATTCTCATAACATGTGGAAGGAGATGGCAGCAAGTGAACTTTAAATCACCACCAATAATATTTACTGTACTGTCAGGTTGAAAAAAGCCTATGGCATTTGACCCCATTCTTATGAAAGGAGAAAAAAAATCAAGATAGTTTTATTTGTGTAAACAAATAGCTTGGTTAAATGTCACGTTCTATTACAACCAGCTTTGTCCTGTATTTGACAATAATGCATTCCTGAGATTTGGACAAATCTCAAGTTCCCCCTTGACTAACAGTAGTGCGTGCAAACGTGCAGTGTTTCACTTGAGGATAATGACACTCAAACCATCCTGTCAAATGTTTGAATATTATCAATATGGCAATATTTTCTCATGATGGAAGTGTTGGAAATGAGCTTATCAATGTCTGCGTACAAGGTTAAAGAGCCTCTAAAGAGGAAGTGTTTATAAAAAATGAATGAATGAATGAATTATGAATGAAATCTCCAAAACATACAAGCCATGCTGCGCCCGAATCATCTTGAACTGAACAACAGTTGACAAAGTATGGTTCAATCCATCCATAGGCTAAAGGTTATTTGGCTGGAGTATGGCCTGCTAAACTAATTAAATTAGAGCTAAATATCAATTTGTGACAGTTTTATGCAGAGCAGAGATCTGTGTGGTCAACATCCCCTTCACTGTGCCTCAAACTTGGCTGAACCTTATTATTTCAGTAACACACAAAATATAGTGCTTTAATAGCTACTCATTGAATGTCAAAAGATGGATTCCTACATTCCTAACCCTAACCCTAACACACACAATAACTGTATCCTTCTATGTGGTCCCAGATAACGCTGGAATGGTCTTGGAAAGTCTTTATCTAATTCATACAAAGCCGGAATTTTACTTTTAGCAACATTGTATGAATATTTGCTGCTACTGCTTATTCCTAAATCCGGTGGGAGGATATTTTTTTTATCCTAAAAAGTGTTAAATCTAAAAAAAGTATTAAAAATTATTTTTCCAGTTGGATCATCAAGACTATTGGTCCTCCTAATTGTCAATCATTCTGGTGATAGTGACGCACAGCCGTCGTTAGTGCTCGTCAAACGAGCACAGAGATTCTTTCACACGATGGCGTGCGCTGAAAGCCCAGAGTGGAATTCCCACTGATTCTTCAGTCGCAAAGTTTCTACTTGACAGATAAAGTTTGGCGTTCTATTTGAATTCTATATGAAATAATCCATTTCAAATCACTTCCAGTAAAATGTATTTACTATATTGTCTGACACATTGGACCAAGTGCAAACTGAGCACTGAGTGGAAGTCCTGACCAAGCTGAGCATCTACATCTGGAGATGGGTCCCCCCGCTGCGGCGACCACTGCTCCTGACAGAGGCCGCAGCAGCAATGCAGGATGGGTCAAATGCAGCGGACACATTTCCCTATGGGGACAACAAAGCATACTGTTTCTTATTTACTGCAGTTCTTAGAGCTATATGTGTCACAGACGGGAAGAGTTAAGAGTTTATGAAAAATGGATTGCATACAAAGTCACAGCATACTTGACCAGGTCATAAACACTGTGTTATTGTACATGGTGTGTGTCACATATATCGTTGACAGACAGTAAACATTCACTCTCTTGATGTGGAAAACCTTATAGAGCACTGGTTCCCAAAGTCCAGGGCTCCGCATCTCCCTTTACCCTTACCCCCAATATTACACTGCGACTTTATACTGAAGAAAAAGTTATTTTTCGGGCCACAATGCAGTTAAACAGTTGTTGTAATGGGTCATTGTTACATAATTACAATGAAATGTTTGTTAATTTACTATAAATCCTTTAACTCCTTGTGGAAACAATCTTTGGAGGCCTCCCCAGGGGGCCCTGGACCACACTTTGGGGAGCTTTAGTATAGAGACTTATCCCAAAAGACTTGAAGCTGTAATTGTAAAATTAAAGCTGCAAGCGGCGTCGAACGGCCCTCGCCGCACCGCGCGACTCCCCGCATTGCTATACGGGTTGCTGCACCGCGCGCACCAACCCGTGCCACGCCGCCCTGCACCACGCCGTCCTGCACCAAGCCGCCCCGCACCAAGCCGCAACGCGCCGCTCCACAACGCCCCGCACTACGCCGCACCACACCGTACCACGCAGCACCGCTCAAAGGAGGTGGCGCTGCCGTGTGATGATTTGTTCCCGTAGCCATAGAAGATTGTTAGTCAAATTGTAATGAATATGATAAGTAGAGCTGGTTTGGCTCCCCATATAAACTTTGACTCAGTCTTTAGGGGGCGCTAATGGGCTAATTTCAAATATTTCACTTTCACCTGACCTAAACCCTGGAGTTGAACAATGGAATCAAGTTTAATGCAAATCAGACTTTGTTTGTGCAAATGGGAAAAAAATTAATGTTGTCAAAAACGGCCAAAAAACCCTCACATTTTGCCGCTCCGCTGCTCAAACAACGTTTCGCTGATCAAAATTCCCTGAAGTCATTTTGAAGGTAAATGTGTTGAGATGAATTGGAACAATTTTGAGGCCAATCGGAGTCGCTTTCCAACCGACGTGTATGAAAATGATTGGTTTTCATTTTTCCATTTTGCAATGAAATTTATGGGCTTCCTGTTTGTCAGAGGGCTTAGCCATAATAACATTTTTCCATGTCTTGACTTGAGGATCATGTGTTCCAAATTACATGGTTCTACAACAATTTTGACCTCGAACCCCTCCCATAGGCATTTTTAAATTGGCTGTTGTAGGTGGCGCTATAGAACCAATTTAAAAAAAAAAAACTTTCAAATGACCTAGACCCAGGAGTTGAACCATGGATTCAAGTTTTCTGCAAATCAGACTTTGTTTGTGCAAACGGAAGCAATTTTTCTATTTTAAAAAACTGAAAAAAAATACGCCACTTTTTGGCGCGTACATGTGTTGAGATTATGTGGAGCGATTTTGAGGCAAATAGGTGAAACGGCCGAGGCTGGTTTGATGTTTGTGTGAGGTGTACATTTGCAATGAATGGGGAGCGTTTGTCGTCGCCACGGCAACAGGGTAAAAAATAAGCCTTGGACCCTATTGACTTTTTGAATCAAGAGGGCAAAACAGATTTATGTGCAAAAATTCAAACATTTTGAAAAAACTAAATTTGAAAATGCCCATTTAAAACTTTGAAATAGTCTGTAGGGGGCGCTAATGTGTCAATTTGAATCATTTCACTTTCAAATGACCTAGTCCCTAGAGTTGAACAATGTATTAAAGTTTTGTGCAAATCAGACTTTGTTTGTGCAAACGGGAGCAAATTTAATGTTGTCAAAAACGGCCAAAAAAAGGTCACATTTTGCCGCTCCGCTGCTCAAACAATGTTTCACTGATCAAAAATCCCTGAGGTCATTTTTTTACATGTGTTGAGATGATATGGAGCGATTTTGAGGCGAATCGGTGGAACGGCCGAGGAGGAGTCGCTTTCCAACCGACATGTATGAAAACTTTTGCTGTTCATCTTTCCATTTTGCAGTGAAATGTATGGGCTTCCTGTTTGTCAGAGGGCGGAGCCATAATAATATTTTTTTCATGTCTTGACTTGAGGAACATTTGTACCGAATTTCATGGCTCTACGACAAACTTGATCTCCAAAACTCCCATAGGGGTATTATTTTGCCTGTTGTAGGTGGCACTGTTCTGTCATTTTTTGTCATTAAGGCTCAAAGTGCAGAAGAAAAAAGAAATAAATAAATAAATATAAAAGGATTTTTTTTTTTTGACGTCTCGAGCAAAAATAATATAGGTTTCAATGGCACGTGATACATAATTTTAAAGCATTTGAGTTTACGCACGCAACTGTCACGTTGTGGTGAGTAACGGGCGCTGACGCGTCCGTCACGCACCGCCACCATTTGTTTTCACCATTGTGAAAGCAATAGGCCCTTACCCCGTTCGGGGCTCGGGCCTAATAATCATGTTCCACAAAAGTGTTCACTGCAAACATTTTTACTTATTATACTTTACAAAGTATTATTATTTCATGAAAGTGCATGAATACTCAAGACACTGAAAGCAACTGTCGTTGTTATTAATACATGCAGATCCCAAGTGCAGAAGCTTTACTGACTTACTATGAATGTTTGCTTGTGTGTTTCCATGTATTTATTTGTGCTTATAGAGATGCAGGTTTCTTTTGAGAGGATCCAGCGGCAGGTGCTGCAGGATTCCCGTCAGCTGGGGCTGAGGAGGAGGGGTGAAAACCACAGTGGTTTGGGGTCGTACTCTGCGGACCACCAGCAGTTTTCTCTGTGGCCACAGCGTGTGCAGCTCATCAGAGCTGACAGCTTAATGGGCTTCAACATGGTTCTGGACAGACCAGTGCTCCTCCTGGGCCAGGGCTCATAGAACTACTCTTTGATCACGTATTTTATCTGTGTTAGCTGCGTTTTGTCTTGCAGAAGGTTCTCGTCTAGCACTAGAAGTCCCGGCGTTTTTGGTCCCCAGTTTAGAAGAGGAGAAGCTAAGGCTGAGTTTATGGTCCTGTGTCTGTGGTCCTGTGTCTATGGTCCTGTGTCTATGGTCCTGTGTATATGGTCCTGTGTCTATGGTCCTGTGTCTATGGTCCTGAGTCTATGGTCCTGAGTCTATGGTCCTGAGTCTATGGTCCTGTGTCTATGGTCCTAAGTCTATGGTCCTGTGTCTATGGTCCTGTGTCTATGGTCCTGTGTCTATGGTCCTGTGTCTATGGTCCTGAGTCTATGGTCCTGAGTCTATGGTTCTGAGTCTATGGTCCTGTGTCTATGGTCCTGAGTCTATGGTCCTGTGTCTATGGTCCTGTGTCTATGGTCCTGAGTCTATGGTCCTGAGTCTATGGTCCTGAGTCTATGGTCCTGAGTCTATGGTCCTGAGTCTATGGTCCTGAGTCTATGGTCCTGTGTCTATGGTCCTGTGTCTATGGTCCTGTGTCTATGGTCCTGTGTCTATGGTCCTGTGTCTATAGTCCTGTGTCGATGGTCCTGTGTCTATGGTGCTGTGTCTATGGTTCTGAGTCTATGGCCCTGTGTCGATGGCCCTGTGTCTATGGTCCTGTGTCTATGGTCCTGTGTCGATGGTCCTGTGTCTATGGTGCTGTGTCTATGGTTCTGAGTCTATGGCCCTGTGTTGATGGCCCTGTGTCTATGGTCCTGTGTCTATAGTCCTGTGTCGATGGTCCTGTGTCTATAGTCCTGTGTCGATGGTCCTGTGTCTATGGTCCTGTGTCTATAGTAAGTAAGTAAGTAATCTTTATTTGTATAGCACCTTTCACAGGCAAAGGCCACAAAGTGCTTCACAACACAGTTAAAACATCACAGAAATTAAATACAATATAAAAAGGGTCAAAGCAACACAGAAATCGTATCAGCCCAAAAATAGCTAATTAAAGGCTTGAACAAATAAATGATGGTCCTGTGTCTATGGTCCTGTGTCTATGGTTCTGAGTCTATGGTCCTGAGTCTATGGTCCTGAGTCTATGGTCCTGAGTCTATGGTCCTGTGTCTATGGTCCTGTGTCTATGGTCCTGAGTCTATGGTCCTGTGTCTATAGTCCTGTGTCGATGGTCCTGAGTCTATGGTCCTGTGTCTATGGTCCTGTGTCTATAGTCCTGTGTCGATGGTCCTGTGTCTATGGTCCTGTGTCTATGGTTCTGAGTCTATGGCCCTGTGTCGATGGCCCTGTGTCTATGGTCCTGTGTCTATAGTCCTGTGTCGATGGTCCTGTGTAAGTAAGTAAGTAAGTTTTTATTTATATACCGCCTTTTCACTGCAGATCTGAGTCTCAAAGCGGTTTACAATTGTTAATTATGGGCATTTGTCTCCCACAGAGATGGGAGCGGGACCAGTACAGGAGGCACATGCCTGAACTATTGGACATATTTTTAGTGGTAGGGGAAACCGGAGTACCCGGAGGAAACCTACGCAGACACGGGGAGAACATGCAAACTCCACTCAGAAAGGCCCTGGTCCGACCGGGATTCGAACCCAGGACCTTCTTGCTGAGAGGCGAGAGTGCTATCCACTCAGCCACCGTGCCGCCCTGAGCCCTGTGTCTATAGTCCTGTGTCTATGGCCCTGTGTCTATGGCCCTGTGTCTATGGCCCTGTGTCTATGGCCCTGTGTCGATGGCCCTGTGTCGATGGCCCTGTGTCGATGGTCCTGTGTCGATGGTCCTGTGTCTATGGTCCTGCTTACTAACTTAAGTGTTAGTAGCATTTCTGATGTGCACCCCTGGTTATAAGACAAAAAATATATACATCAATAGAAACTGTTTCACTTCATGCAATAATTAATGTATTTTATTTTTAGTATAGTCTTTGGATGACACACCTTTCATGCATGAATTATGATAGGCTTCTTCAAGTGTTTTAAATATCTTGAGGCATGAAAAGAGAGAAAATATTGTAATTTTGAAGTTGGTGACACGTCCACTAGAGTGGACAACGTGCATTTGAGTCACGGAATAAGAATACTGTAAACACCACAGGACATTTAGCTTTTATCTTTAGCATTGTATTTTTCTTACTTAACACATTCCAAAAGTGTAAAATGTGTTGTCTGAAACATTAACCAAAGAAAAACACATTTGTTGCAATGACTAAATGACTGAAATACTATAATGAACTTGGCTGGTACTAATCAGCATAGAACTAAGACAAGACTTTTGAATCTGCATAAGCTTGTACATCTTAGGTATTCGAGTATGACATGACCAAATTAATCGCTAGAAACTTCTTCAGTTCACTTCAGCCAGGGGCCGGAGGGGGTCCGGTTCGGGGGTCACAGGATTTCATCTCTGCTATTTGCGGATGATGGGACAACAAACCAGGACCTGCAACATGCACTGGGACGGTTTGCAGCCGAGTGTGAAGCGGCTGGGATGAGAATCAGCACCTCCAAATCCGAGGCCATGGTGCTCGACCGGAAAAAGGTGCCTTGCCCTCTCCGGGTGGGTGGAGTGCTCCTTTCTCAAGTGGAGGAGTTCAAGTATCTCGGGGTCTTGTTCACAAGTGAGGGAAGAATGGAGCGTGAGATTGACAGGCGGATCGGTGCAGCGTGCGCAGTGATGCGTTCGCTGTATTGGACCGTCGTGGTAAAGAGGGAGCTGAGCCGAAAGGCAAAGCTCTCGATTTACAGGTCAATCTTCGTTCCCTCCTTCACCTATGGTCATGAGCTTTGGGTAATGACCAAAAGAACGAGATCGCAGATACAAGCGGTCGAAATGAGCTTCCCCCTCATTGTGGCTAGACCCCTTAGAGATAGGGTGAGGAGCTCAGTCACACGGGAGGAGCTCGGAGTAGAGCCGCTGCTTCTCCACGTCGAGAGGAACCAGTTGAGGTGGCTCCGGCATCTGTTCCAGATGCCTCCTGGACGCCCTGGGGCAGTGTTCCGGGCACGTCCCACGACCCGGAAACTGATGAAGCGGAAGAAAATGGATGGATGGATGGATGGAATCTTGGTTGCCTTTTCCTAGGAGAAGTGATTTTTGAAACAGAGATCATCTCTGGTTCCAAAATCAGATCTAACTCCGACAAGGCTCAAACTTCTTTTTGCTAGGCTGCATGCCCAGCCCCCTTACATGCATACATACAGTTTTAAAGCGGCACCTTTGATATTTAGCATATCAAATGAACAGAACAGGAGAAGTGGCGGAGACAATGGCAATTCCACAAGGGCTAGTTTTGGCCCTCTTCAAATAACCCTCTTCGTCCAGACTGGCTGTAGTCAACAGTGAATTCTCCTGTCTAATGTGATTTACTATGTCATATTCCCTCATATTTAAGTTTTATAAATCAAACAATCTTTGTTTTACATGGAAAACAAATGATGAAACTTAATAACTCAATAATGAAAAAACACAAAAAAACTCAAAGAAAATTGTTTCATAGTATAAGTTCATATTGTTTTCCCATAAACCATATTCCCCCTGTTGAGACAAAACATGGCTCAAAACTGAACAATTGTCCCAAAATGTATTAACTTTGAAATGCATTAAGTTGAAATTTATTTAACCTTAGTTATCAATTTCAACTCCATGCACGTCCAAAGCCCAAACACCCAAAGTACATTTTCACAGTCCAAGGTCCAAAATCCATATTTGACACTTCCTCTCGATCCATCCTCATGTATGGTACTGACCAGAAATGTCCACTCTGCTCCTGTTCCAAAACTCTTCTCTGTATGCGTAACTTCAGACGCCAGACCAGCAGCAAGCAGTACTCCAAACGAGATACAAAGCTTGCCTGCGCTTTTGATCCTTGCAAATTGGCCCGTGACTAGAGAGATGTGGTAGTAAACGTCTAGAAGTACCTGCGTTATTAGCTCTGACCAAGCAAAAGCAGCTGGAGCGGGGGAGTGCAGGTTGAGTTTAAAATGAGCAAAGTTCACTTTGGTGAAATGTAAACATGTATGAAGTGTGAAATAGACTAGAATCCCTAAACCTGACCTCTGTAAAAGTGGTTCAGCTGAACAAGGGCCGTCAATACATCTATGGCAGGGCTCCAGACAAAGATTTTGGATGGCTGCTCTGATGTATTTAACTGCTTAATTTAACCAGCACTGCTTTGAATGTAAGAGTCATTTAATCATTTTTATACTGTATATCTAAATTTATTAAATGTTTTCAAATGGATCATTTTAATTTGACAATCTACAGACAATTTGACAATCTCTATTTTAAATTCAAATTTATTCCTTAGAAGTGTTTTTTATTCTTTATTTTTATTATCTCTTTCTGACTGTTGCACTGAGCCAAAGCAATTTCCAAGTCTGTGACTTCCTGTTACTTACTTGGCAATAAAAATGATTCTGATTCTGATTCTGATACAGCACACACAGCCCTCTATCCGTCTGTCCTACTGCTTTACTCAGTTACACTGAAACCTTCCAGTCTATGGCTGAAACCGGCAATTTCTGATCTGTAAAACGTAATGAGAATGGTTTAAAGTACACTATCTGACAATTCTGAGGGGAAAAGCATGCATTTATACACTCTACTGTGTGCTTATCGAATGGCTGTGTGAATAATCCAAGGCACAGTGTTACAGGTCAATGGGCTGTAAGGTGATAGAAACAACAGGTGCATCCAGGGTTTCAGCTTGGATCATCAGCAGCAGCCTCTCTGCCTCTCCATTTGTATGTATGTGATAAAACAGTCACAGTAATAAATATATTCTTTTCACACAAAAAATATGTCCAAATGATCTTTTGAGCGGCTCTTTTGAAGTGAACAGATTCAAAAGGAATAGCTTCTTAAAAGCCGAAAGTCCCATCACTATTTGAAGATCATAACAAGTTTAATGTGCATACCTGTGCAATTTTGGTTAGATGTAGATACATCATATGTTATATTATGTTATAGTATCTCAAGGT